TACGTATCCTTATTTAATTCAATTATAAATTATTAAAATACTCCCTTAAAATTATAACAATAATATTATATAATTTTTTTCGTGAAATCAAAACAACATATTCTAAATATCATGAAAATTTAAAATATAAGCTTCTTCAATTACACTTAATAATTAAAATTGATGGATAAAAATTCCAATAGAATAAAATTAAACCCGTAAATTTATAAATTATTTAAATTAAAATGATGAAAATTCAGTTCATATTAAATTCTATATATATATATATATATATAATTTTTTGTTATTTTAATTTAAATATCAATTGATAATTGAATTTCATGTTATTTATGGATTTCTTCTAGATATATTGTAAAATTCTAAATAAGTGTTTCTACAAAATATTAAAATTTCTTTTAAATATGATTAAAGAAAAAGGCTAAGAAAGCACCAGGACAATTATTAAGAAAGCAACATATAAAACATGCATGGACTCAACGGTTAGCCCAATAGTGGGTTCCATATTGGGCCAGCTTCCTAGACAAATTTGTACATACATACATATTATATATATGTATGTGTGTGTATTGAGATCAATTTGAAGGATCGTGTTTGCCAATTGGTTCCGTGTGAATGCACAGAAAAATCTAAAGCAAAAATATATCTAATTGCAATATATATATTTTTTTTGGCATCATAATTGTGAAAATATTATATTTAACTTTTTCATAAATATAAATATTACATAATATATACATATATGTATATATAATATTTAAATTGCATGATATATTTTGTCTTGATCAATCTTGGGTGTGGGGCATGAAATGTCTATCTATGGACACAGCACATCTGCTTCTCTGGGTTGGATTTTATTGCAGATTCTTTTTTTAATTATCTTAGAGGTCCCAAAATTTTGTAGATTTTTTTGTTTCCTTTTTCACCTTTTCATTTTATCCACAAAAATCTTACTACTACTTGCTGATCTTCCATACTTACTTTTAACCTATTTTGTTTTACTTCCATTATTGTATTACCTTCAATGCAAGTAAAACATAGCGATATATAATAACATGTTTTCGACTTTAAAATATGGTGTATAACACTTATCTGCATTTTGGTATAATTTATATTCTGATATAATAATATTTTAATTCTAAAACTTTACGCAATTTTAAAAATAAAAAAATTTTGTGACTTGATCAGTTTCTCAATTCAACCAATTTAGTCTATACTTTTATTAATTAAATTACGGAATATAAATTTATCATTTATTTTATTTTTAATTCATAATATATATTTTTTATATTATGTTCGTATTTTAACGTAATATTTTCCGATATTTGTTAATTTATTACTATCTTTCACATTAAAGAAGTTATTAGTTCAAACAGTCAAACAATTAAATTTAAAATATTTTTATTAAAATTTAGAAATTATGGCACCAATAATTTTGTTTGGACGTGTCTTTAGTGTTACAATAAGCCTAACGTTATATTTAATTATAAAACACTAATTTTTTTAGTTTTTAGATATTAATATCTTAAAAAATAATTTTATAAAATTTTAATCAAATAATTAGCATATTAATATTTACAGTTTGTGATAATCTGCAGTCAAATTTAAGAAACCACAGTTGTCAACTACTAATTAATTACTAACAATTTTAGTCAGTAGTTAACGACTGTAATTTTTTAGTGAGCCTACGGGAGTCACACAGTTAATATTATATATATAATTTTTTTATTTATAAAAATTTTAATTTTTAAATATTACTCAATAATTACAAATTTATATTAAAATTCGTTAGTTTTAAATATTATATGCTTAAGTTTATAATATGAGTGAACTAAAATATATTAAAAATATTTTTTAAAAAAATAATTTTAAAGGTGCATTTCATTATACATTGGCTTATTGTATTTAAAATTTGTTATAAAATTATTAGTGGTCAACAAACACTTTGAAAAGACTCGAAACTTAAATAAAAATAAAATTATAAATTAAATGCATAAGTAAAATAATAGAATTAAGGTTTACATTTATTATACAATAATTTAGAATGGCTAATAGAGATACGACAATATTCATTTTAAAAGAGTAAACGAAAATAAAAGAAATAAAAAAAAAACACAAATCACTAAGCATCCTATGACGACCTTCACTAGCTTTTGGATGAAGTCCAGGTTGTGAACTATTCGCAACCCTCTTGTTGATCGGGATCCGGATCCGGATCTTGATTCTCTTAATATGAAATAATTAATAAATGGGTGAGCTACACTAACCCAGTAAGAATATCATACTACTAATCACATATACGGAAAACTGAATATTGGTAAAAATCAGAAAAACAACCAACTGAGCCCTTAATTTCATATAAATTCATTTACTATAAAAAAAAGTCATTTATTCTACATTTGTATAACAAGTATCTCTCAACAATAACTTATAAAAATTCATATTCACGTAAAAGATAACAAGAAACGATCATTTTACATATTTACCCGCTTATCGGTACTCTTGGGGGTCTATAGGGATGCCCTTATACTCGTGAATCTAATATCCAATTAAACAATTAACCGATCATCCTCATACCTATTCCGATAATGGGTGCCAAACATTCCACCACCTCGATACTCCGTCCGGTATGAATGTGAATCGTATATCCCAAACCTTATCGGTAAGCGACTTCTCAGCCCCGTTCGACTGATGCAACGTTCACGGTGGGGTTCCCCATGTACCCGACCTGTCTGCCTTTCCCAGGTACTTATTAAGTATTTTCTATATAGATTTCCATCAGCATAATAATCAACCATACAATAACAATATCTCATGTTATACTCACCGTTCATTTAAATAATAATATAATTTCACACCACTAAATAACCAATGACCGGGATACCAGCAAGTAATGTAGAAAAAATAAATAACAAAATAATCAAAAAGATCATAAAAACCATCAATTGAGTTACACACAATATAATAGTAAATAAATATAAGCAATATGAGAAAATAAATAGAAAATCGAAATGACCGTGTACTAACAAGTTCCGACTCCACTAGTAACTTGTAATTATTTTTAACATTCTATAATTTTTATAAAAATACACAATTATTAATTATTAATCTTTAATTTATCGTAACAGAGAAAAGAGTGAG